TTAGATGGAGAAAATTTTTTATTTATTTCACACCTCCACACGATGCATGATCCCTTCAATTGGTATTAGAGCCTCCATTGAATCTTTGATTATATGATTATTTAAATGTGATTAAATACATGAATTAGCTATGTCTAATTATAAATCTTGTGTTTTTGGTGTTTTATATAAACATGAAACTAAAATTTTGGGTCATAATGAGTAAGAGCATGCGAAGTCTACGTTGGAAGTCAACACTCGAGGGAGTGGCGACTCATCGCCGACAACGCAATAGGTGCACAACAAGCAAGCTTCTTGCTTACTAGGTCACGCACTAGGTGCGCGGGCTAGGCAACGCACTCTATGCATGTGCATCGGGTGTGCCTGGCTAGCCGACTCGTACGCTAGGTGCACGTAAGGTAGGCCTACTAGCCTACCAAACCGGGCATTAGGCGCACGGGCAATGTCGCAGGCCATTGGCCGCTCACTTTCGTGCTAGGTCGATGGTCATGAGCAGACACACTCAAAGTTGAAGGTTTGGGCTTCGAAACTCGTGAACCCTCAAAGCTCAAAAGCCTATAAGCCCAAAGTGGGCCTAAGACCCAAAAAGTTTTTAAAATTAAAATTTTAATAAATTTTGATAAATTTAGAAAATGATCAAAAATATAGATTTATAATCATTTTATAAATGAAATTGTTTCATTGGTATGCCATGTATCAATGTGATTAAAACATGAGTGAATGGTATAAATGAGTCGACCTAATTTTATTAATGCTTGTTATTTTTTTTGGATAAATAGGACTCGTGTCTCCTCGCCTTCTCTATTACTCTATTTTATTTCTTTTCTCTTCTTACTCCCCTCGAATTTAACTCGAGGTTTCTTATTTCGAATGAATGTAAAAGTAGAAGATAGGAATTAGAATAGATACAAGGAGAAGATGCCAAGGAATGAAGACATTCATGAAGAATTTATAATAATTTTTTACTTAAGAATTGACTCACTAGTCTCTTTATGGCTCGAATGGGCTAGTACTAGAAATCTATTACCATTCACCAATCCTTGAGTCATGCATGAGATATACGAATGTGCTCGAGATAAATGTTAGTATGTATGATTAGAAATAATGTGATTATTGTTTAAGTAGGTATGCTAGGATGAGACCAACCATATTAAATACTTCAAATAAAATATTAAGTTAATTGCTTTCTAACGTTATGAGATGAGAACTCTCTTGGTCATTTTTGGCTTATTGAGATAACTTAAGCTCACTTCTTCCTCGAGCGAAACAAATCATGGGCCATGCGATGTCTTCGAACTTTGGGTCTAACTTAAATGTGTTGTTGGATTTGTTAAGATAACTTAAGGTCTAATAAACTTGTAAGCAAGGATTGGTATTCACATAAGATGTGACAAGGACAAAGAGTTGTCATACCAATGGAATTAGGAATTACATTAAATGTAATTGGTAAGGAGTTACCCGCCTAATCCTTCATGTATGGCTTATTAAGATAATTCAAGGCTAATGCATGATAAAAGATGGGATCCTAACCTTGTAGGAAAACAAATCAAAAAGTTTTCTCGAGTCATATATTAAAGGTTATAGAACTTGAAGAAAATAGTATAAGCAAATATAGATTTTACTTCTTTAATTTATGTTTTGTTTTATGCAATTTAATTAACCAAGCCATACATTTTTCCATTCGGTCAAGGTTGTTGCACAGTATGATTGGCAATACATCAATGAGATCGATGACTAATGGAAAGAATGCCTTAAATGACATAAACTTCCTTGAGTGGAAATTGAATGAGAGGAATGTCCTCTAATATGGGAAAATGCTCTATGCGATAGATTATAAAGAGTACCATGAAGGGATACAAAAGAAGAGTTCTCGATGCACCTCAAGTATTCATATTATTGAAGTAAATTTTATTACTTTTAGTCCAACATCGTGGGTATTTGATACTCGGATGTGGTGCACATATTTGCACAAACTTAAGAAGACTAAAAGCGACTAGAAAGAATGCTTTTGGTGAGGTTGACCTACGCGTGGTAATGGTTCAAGAGTTGTACCATTAGTGATAGGCACCTAAGAGTTAGCACTACCATCCGGACTTATGCTTATACTTAGAAAGTGTTATTATATTCTTAGTATAACTAGGAATATCATTTTCATTTTCCGTTTGGATCGAAATGGATTTTTGTTTTTATTTAAGAACAAAAGTTGTTCATTTTACAAAGATGATGTTTTATATGAAAGTGCTAATATGAATAACGGTTTATATGTTTTAAACATAGACACACTAATCTATAACATAAATGCAAAAAGACTCAAAACTAATGATCTAAACAAAACATATCTATGGCATTGTCGACTTGGCCATATAAACAAAAATCACATATCCAAGCTACATAAAAATGGATATTTAAAATCATTGGATTATGAATCTTATGATGTCCGTGATTCTTGTTTGTTTGGTAAAATGACAAAATCCCGTTTTAGTGAAAAGGTGGAAAAGATGTTAATTTGTTAGGCCTCATACATAAGGATGTATGTGGGCCCGTATCCACCAGTCTGGAAGAGGATATGATTATTTCATAACCTTTATCGATGATAGATCGCATTTTGCTTATGTGTATCTCATGTGATACAAATTTGAAGCTTTTGAAAAGTTTAAAGAATTTAGGTTTGAAGTCAAGAAACAAACCGAGAAAAGTATTATGGCACTTCGATCGATCAAGATGGAGAGTACTTAACCACCGAATTTTTAGATTATTTAAAAGAGAATGGAATTCTCTCACAAAGGACCCCACCTAAAACACCATAAATGAATAATGTGTCCAAAAGGAGAAATAGGACATTATTGATAAGGTCCGGTCCATGATAAGTTGAAATAATATCTCAATATCATTTTGGGGATATACGCTCCTTACTCGCAACATTTATTTTGAACAGGATTCTAACAAAGTCCGTTAATCGGACTCCATATTATATATGGAAAGGAAACAAAGCAAATTTATCTTTCCTTAAGATTTGGGACTCGTGAAGCATATGTCAATATTTAGACAGAGACAAGCTTGAACCTAAATCAATAAAGTGCAAATTCGTAGGATATCCAAAAGAAACAAATGGATATTACTTTTACCAACCACAAGAACAAAAAGTGTTTGTCACTAAGCATATTGTATTCCTTGAGAAGGAATTCATAGATGCTAGGACCTACGGGAGAAAACTTGAATCCAATGAGATTCAAGAAGACTTATAAATTGACACCGCATTAGAGGAACCTCAAGTAGAAAATTTACAAAGCGTTGTAATCGCTCCACAAAATAATGTACAAGAACTTCCTAGGTCTAAGACAATCTCCAACTAGGTTATCAAAATTTAAGGAATGTATTGAACTTGAGAAGATTGATTCTAAGAGTTTGTTACAACTAGATATCATAACTAGGTGGAATTCAACATATTTAATGTTAGATGCGGCTTAAAAATTTGAGAGAGCTTTTAAGAGATATGAGCAAATTGATCCTTTATATAGGAGTGAATTTAATGGAGATCATGGTGATAATGTTGATGGTGGGCCGCCTAATGTTGATGATTGGAAGGCTAGTAGGAAGATGGTGGGCATGTTGAAAGTTTTTTATGACCTTACTTTACTTATTTTGGGTTCTTTGTATGTGACTTCTAATACTTACTTTGAAAAGATTTGTTCGATTGAACATAATTTGAGAAAATGGCAACAAAATTTAAATTTAGATAATTTTTCATTGGCTAGCAATATGAAAGAAAAGTTTTAGAAGTATTAGGTGGATATTAAGAAAATGAACAAGTTGATTTATACTGCGATCATACTTGATCCTAGGCATAAACTTGAATTTTCAATCAAACAATTGTATGGTGATTTGGATGAAGAAAATATGATAAATATTATGAAAGAATTCACATATTGCATGTATGATTTCTATTGTCATTTATCAAAATCTAAAGATCAAATTGATAAAAGTGGTGGAAGAATAGAAGTGTCAAATGCAAATGAGGAAATAGTTGGGGAAGAGGAGTTGAGTGTGAAAACGAAGATGAGGAAGCTTTTTAAAAAATTCAAGTATGATAGTGGAGGTGGAGAAAATAAATTAAAGTTGGATAAATATCTTGCTGAAGATTCGAAGATGATGACTCGATTTTGATATTTTGGAGTGGTGGAAAAATAATTCTCCGTGATTTCCTATTCTTTTGCAAATGGCTCGTGATGTGATGGTGATTCCTATTTCTACTATTCCCTCGGAATTGGCATTTAGCACTAGAGGAAGATTTCTTTATGCTTTTAGGAGTTTTTTTATCTCCTACCATAGTGCAATCTCCGATACGTGCTCAAGATTGGCTTAAAAATTCATCCAAGCTCATTAATGTAGAAAAAAATTGGTAAGATGTTCAAAAAATTAAAGATGGTAATTTTCTATCTCTCGTCTTTTTATTTGTTATTTATTTCCTATATAATAACTTAACAATGTTAAAGTATTGATGTTTTTTTATCTTATAATTTTTCGCATTTAGGAGTAATCCGTATGAATGTTTGATGGATTGATGATGTTTTGGCTTTTTTGGATGCTATGGGTAAGATTTTAATTTTTATTTTCTTGATATGATAATTTTTAAAAAATTTAATATTTGATGGATTGATGATATTTTTTTTCTTTATAGGAATGTCATTGCCAAGATTTTGAAATGAATGGAATCCAAATTTAATTATGTATTTTGTTGATGTTTTTAATATTTTAATGTTCTTTTAATTTGAGTTTATGGATTGTATTTGAATTATGAATTATGGCCTATTGGGTTGTAATTTTGTAACTCTTCCGACTTCGTTGGCTGAATACTACCGCCTATCGCTTAACATTTTAATTGATTATTTGGTTGTAAAATAGTGGCCGGAGGAGGTTAATTATTCTTGAGCCCGGAAGGTCGGAACTAGAAGTGATTCAAGAAAAAAACAAATACAAATATAAAATAATACAATTGATAGAAAGAGCCAAAGAGGACGGATCTGGACAGTGGTACACTTAACACTAGTACTACTAGTCTTAGTAGTCTACCGGAACTCGTGGAACGAGTAGAAGTTGAAGTGTGGAACTCTAAAATCCGAATGGAACAAAGGCACAAAGCTATCAAAGACTCAAAGCAAATAAGCAACAATATGTCAATATGTTACTTGTTAATATCTTTTTTTTTTTTTTAATTTTGATTTCAACCCTTGTTTGTGAAAGTGTGAATTTTGATTGTCCATTTGTCAAGTGTGAGTGTGTGACGGTGTCCAAGATTTCAATTCAATTTGAAGCTCCTCTTTTCATTATCTTTACATATTGTAGCAACTAACAAGTTAGTCATGTTTTGTATTTAATTTAGCATAGTAAGTTTGGCCCAAAGGACAAAGCCCATTTGGGATAGAGACCTAAAAGTCAAAGCCCACTTGAGAATAAAATTCAGTTATTAACCGAATTAATTAATAACCAAAATCAAAATTTTGGTTAAAAAACCAAAATACCGAAGTTTAATTCGGTTCGATTTCGGTTTTTCATTTAGGTAATTCGTTTAACCAAAAATCGAACCGAACTTGTCAATAACCGAACCGAATAACCCTTTCATCACCTCTATTTGATTCCATCAACCGGAGGAGGAGCGGCGGCGCTAAGAATTTCGACTCGCTATCTTTAGCTTTTTTGGTTTTGTTTTTTTAACTCGTTAGGTTTTTTTCTCTCTTAGGTGGTTGTCTCCTCGTCCTCCTTTTATGTGTGTGTGTGTGTATGTCTAGTATTTATAGGGGTTCTTCTAGGGTTAACCTAGGATTTTTTTTTTCCTATTATGATTTTACTTTTTTACTATTAATATGGCCTAACTCAATGCCTAATCTAGGTCCATTCCTCCTCTCTCTCTTTTTTCTCGATCTAGGCCAATTCCTCTCTTTGTCTTTTTTTTTCTCCTTTTTTTGATTTTTAATTTTTTCTTTTTTCTTTTTTCTTTTTTCTTTTTTATAGGGTAAAAATAGGATGATGAAAATAATTATATGTATTTGCTCCCTTGTTCACATTCGTATAGATAAAAGATAATTATTATGACTGGATTTCTAATGAATGTTAGAGAACAATACATCAAAAGTACCCAACAAATTAATATTTTTCCCTTACAAGTTATCTACCATCATCAATCATATTGCTAGGCATATTTGAAACCAAAATCAGGTGGCATATATAGGAGCAATCAGTCAATCCCATTGTCTTTCACCACAGAATATCGTGCTTTTGGATTCTTACCTTGTCTAGAAGTATATGTGAATCAATATATCCCCTTCTTAGAGTCTAAATGGTGAGTTCTGGTTTATCTTTATCTATGCATATCCTGGAATTTACGTGTACACATAATCTTCAAGGTACGATTGGTATCGTCATCCTTGAGCTTCTGTGCCCAAAAGAGAAGACAAGAAGATTCCAGTTAATTTTTACAAGGAATTAAAAAGTAATGAAGGAGAGCCATTGAAAGAGACTTCTATTTTGCTTTTTTATGATTCTAGCTCTCTTCCTTTATCCTTTTCTTGAGCTAAACGCATAAGGTATCCATTGGTTCATTCATGTCCAACAAACAAAAAAGTATACCATCATTTTCATCGTCACTTTCGCCCTTACTTGCTGCCTTTTTATCCAAAAATAGAGATTTTTTTGGGGATCTGTTAAAGTTAAAGGTGTGTTAATTAATTCTTTAATTTGAGATAGGATTTTTTTACTTAAAGTAATATATATATATAATCACGTAAAGCAATATGGTTGGAATAAAATGAGGTGCGCCGGTGACTTGGAATAAAATGAGCATGTGCCTTTGCATAAGGAAGGGGTAAATTATAAATTAATTCTTTTAATTTTGAGAAATAAATTAATTAGTTTTTTAAAAATTAATTATTTAATTTTTATATTCTAAAATTTTCTTATAATTTAATTATTTGTTAACTTATTTTGATTTTTTATTTTAAAAATAGTAAAAAAATTATATAAACATTCATGAGAAAATAATTTTTTAAAAAATAAAATAATATTAAATTAAATATGATCAACACTTATCAAATAAATAATTAATTATTTTTTAAAATAAAAAATTAATTAATTCACTTCTAAAATATATAGAGGGACTAATTTATAATTTACTCCATAACGAATGGACCAACAGAAAATTTTTAAGCCTTGAATTGGATTTATGTTTTTATGCAAATAAAAGCTATCAACCAAGCTAGGAGAAACTTCTCAATAACAAAATACTGAAATAATTCCTCGCAATTTCTTTTTATTTTGCTTTCGGCTTAAAATATAGGTATGAAAGACGGATTTTGTTAAGCACGGAAACAGCTGCACGCATTTGTATATTCTAATCATAGGTATTTTTGTCTGGACAACTAGGATCAACCACCGAATATAACCATGCATGATTATTTTAGTGTAAATATAATAGATTTAAGATCCAAATTTCACCATTTTTACACTCTAAACATGTTTAAGATTCGGATGCATAATTAGGATTCTTTATATATAGTGAAGTATGATTGAGTTAGTTTTTGCATTAATGAAAATTAAGTTTATTATTTTTTTAGTTAAGTCAATATTAAAGCAAATTTAGTTTTTGATCGACCATTTAACTGTATGTTTTTTAAGTTAATTTAACATGATCTTGATACTACTAAAAAATAATTATAATTATTTATTTATGAATAACAAAAATTAAAATTTTATTTTATTTAAATCAAAAACAAAGTTTTTATTGCTAAACCATATTCTTTTATAGTGTAAAAAAACAAAAGTGGGTAGATTTAAGGATGAATTTTAAGTAGCAATTAACGAAAGGAAGACGGCAAACCTAACCCAATCATATCGACCTATGAGAAAAAGTTTATGATTTTGAGGGCAGATAGATTCCGAAATTCTCAAATATCATTTCCTTGAAATTTCAGCATGTAGTCCGCTCAAATTTATTGTGGAATGACCATTAAAAAAAAAAAAAAAAAAAAAAAGCAAGGAAACCGACAATTAATTCATGCAAATTTCCAAGATAGCCAACATTATCATCATCATCATTATTATTATTATGAGGCCAACAGTTCCTGATGAAACTCGCACAGGATAACAAAAAAGGCCCACAAATGTCCTTATAAAAGGATGGATGAGGTCCCCAAACCCTAATCAAGGAATCAAGAAAAGGTTTTCAATGGACGGAAGCTATTCTGCATGGGAACCTTCACAGTTCACACCATCCCCTAACTGCTGATATTAATTTCACCGTCTTATTAAACTTCACATTATTATTATTTGTCATATGTAATTATGGAAATTAAGATACTATGCATAAATTAAATAAATCATACTAAATTTAGTAGAGATAGGTGGAAAGTGATATATAGTTAATGGATTTGGAATCTAAAAATTAATACAGAATAATTAGTTAAGAACAAATAAAATAAATTGTTATATTGATTTATTGATTTTCTGTATAATTTATTAGTATGCATAGTACTGCTCAAAATTATATCTACCTATACATTTATTTAATATTTATATGAAATTTAATTTATGAATTTCAATGATAAATCGATAATTTTTATATATTTATAGTTATTGTACCCACACGCCAACTTTCATATTGATTGATATTAAATCCATTTATTTTTTAAACCAATTCACAATAGGACTCGTTTAGATTTTGATCGATAATTCAACTCTTTCTTAAACTAAATTAACTTATGTCCAGTATCATTAAGAATAATTATAATTATTTATTTATAATCAGTAAGAATTGAATCTAATAATTAATAAATTGAATTATACATAAGAAGTATCGTCCTCATCACTAGGACTTGAGTTTGATGTGATATTTTAGAATTGATGGCTGATGACTCCATGGGTGATGACACCGATGATCTACACCCATTATATCATCAGTTCTCTCTCTATAAATAGGCTGGGGACCAGCCTTTAGATTTCACATTGTATTTATATTTTAGGGAAAAGAAAAAAAAAAGGCAGGGAGAAAAGGGGGCAGATACGGGAGAAAACTGAAAGTTTAAACCCCAATTTTGCTCTTACAACTTCAAAATGTTTCATCTTCACTCCTACAGTTCTAATGTTTTCAATAATGTTCTTAAAGTTTCCATATATCCCAAGTTTACCCCTAATAATTTATTAGCTAATGAGATTTAATCGCTAAACCACTTTTGAAACTCTATTTTCTTAGGTTTTTAAGTCAATTGTGAGAATTTTATTTTTATGAATGAATTAATTAATTGATCGATTATTGGGAGAAATTATCATATGTATAAGGATTTGAGAGAAAAAGATGAGTGAAACAAGGGATAGAATTGAGGAAATCCGAAGAATAAGGTTGTTGAGCATTAATTTATGAATCTATTTGAAGGGAGATGAAGTTTATCCAGCTCAAAAGGGACATCGCAAATGCAAATTTAGAAAACAAAATCATTAATCAACAATTAAATTACCAAACTTCAAGAATAATTACTACTTCTTCTATCCCATAAAGATTGTTATTTTAATTTTTCAAACAGTTAAACAAAATCATTAATCATTATATCATGTCATCATTCTTTGTATACCAATATTTTAAATCATAAATCTCTAATAAAATATTTTTTTAATTAAACATTGTAGTAAAATATATAATTAATATTTTAAGTAAGACAAATATTTTAAAACAAATAAAAATAGAAATCAAAGCAATCTAATTACAATTTACTTTGAAATATTTAGTAAACTGCCTTTCTACATTTCCTCACGTAATCCAATATTGGAACTAAGGAAAGCTAATTTCTTTCCTTCCATGCCAAGTTAGCAATTAATTAAAATAACCCTTAATTTTCCTTCCTTGCTGATTACCTTTCTCTTGACCAAACACGGTGTTACCAGGATTGATGTATACCTTCAAATTAAGCCAAATATTGTTTGGTGAAAGTTTGCCATCCCAAATTAAAACACATCCAACTCCATTGATGATAATTGAGAGAGCAATCAACGTGAAACATGGTACGGCAGATCAAAACAAAGAACAAGTCCAGCAATTTTATACGTGGCACAATTCTTGTGTCTCACGAGGTGAAGTCTAACCAAGGAAGGTTGCCCTAATAAAAGTCTCCATACAAATATCATTAATGTCGTGTTGGTCGTGGTTTACTCTCTCTGTCTTTTTTGTTTATGTGTTTTTTGAAGTCAATGCATGACCCACTAAGATTTTGTTTGCATAAGATTAGTAGAATAATGTTTTGTTAATTAATGCTCTCATTTTGCTTGCAAGCTAGCTCGTTATTTAATTAGTTGTTGGATTGATCTTCAAATGATTTAACACTGACAGCTTTTTCTTCACTTCTGTATAACTTAACTAATTGATTAATTATCATCCATGGTTAAGCAGTTTAAAACAAAACAAAAAAATTAATTAATTAATTTTCTACTTGATTTATCTCATTTTCAATTTTTTTTTTTTTAAGAAACAAATAGAATTTGTGATACTGCTTGTTTAAAATAAAACATGTAATTTTCAAAGTTAATTTATTTCTCTCTTTTTTTCTTTTTTTCTTTTTTTTCCCCAAGAAACAAATAGAATTTGAACTTGGAATACTTTTTTTAAAAGTTATTTAATGATTCGAATTCGATTTTCAAATATTGTCATATAAAATAATGCATGTTTAGTACTCATAACCGGATTCATTTTCATTCAAATATTTAATTTTGTTCTTTTGTTATTACAATTCAACATGAAATAAAGTGCAATCAATGCATTTAGATTATGTTTAATGGATGTTCTAAATACACTCACCAATTAAAATTATTATGCTACCTTTCATGATTACATGTTATATAGAACCATTTCAACGTAAAATCTTAAATTATTAGGTGAAATTCTAGACACGACTCTTTAAGTAAAAACTTTTTAAATTTAAAATTTAAATATACCCACCATTATTTTATACTTAATCATTTAATTAAAAAAAAAGTGAGAATGATGAGATTCGAATTCTTGATCGTTTGGTCATCAAAGCTCGAATATCATATCAAAAAATCATCTCAACCTAAAAATTTAAGATGTTAGATGAAAGCTCTAGAAATAATTTTTATATTACTCTTTAACACCACACAAACATCATAAACTCTAAACAAGTATTTAAAATATTTAAAGACGTTAATGATATTTTTCCTAAATTAGGCTAAACATATGACTTGACATGAAAGGTACGTAATTATGCAGCATGTCATTTTTTCCACCTTTTAAGAGGTGATTTTGAGCTAAATTTAGTGAAACCAAATTCCCCAGTACCCCACTGGCTAGATCTTTGCTTCAGCTTTTCTGCCTTGCTAGTCAAATGTGAAACTCTGGATTATTAATGGAAAACAGGCAGAATTAAGTCCACGAACATCATTGCATGTAAAACTCCATAGTCTATGATGCCCTTGACTGTGTTTCTTATTTTTATAGCCATATCAAAATTAAATCATTACGGTTGAAAATTTTCCTGTCTTGCAATATTCTTCATCTGCTACTCATTTCAACAACAATCAAATGGCAATTATAGTGATTTATGGAAGTTTCCAATCTTAGGCTTGGATTCAAATGAAATATATAAACATTAACCTACTTTCTCAGTAATTGGCACTTCAATTTAAATGTAAAACAATAACTTATTAAGATCGTACAATCGGATTAAACTTTATTACTCTCGCTTCAAAAAAAATTAGTCATGTAATAAAAAACGCCTAAGAAAAAAAATCTATGAATAACCAGCCTTTAACTCTTGAACTAAATTAAGATGAATTTAATCTCGGGAAAACCAGCTTCAAAATACTATTTTTTTAATTATATTATCATTTTGAATATAAATACAAAAGAGTGCCGCGAAAAATAAATTTTCTTATAAATCCACTGTCTTTAGCATGGGCATAGAAAAACTGGTTTCGAGAACACCTTTTTTTTTTAAAAAAAAAAAGAAGTTATTTGTAATATTTTGTTTTGGTTTTAGTGCTAAAATTAAAAAATCCAATTAACGCCGTTATAACAGAAATCTTTAAAGCCCAAGCCTGCTTAAAACATTGAAAGCCATATGAAGCCAAGCCAAGCCAAGCCAAGCCGAAGTTGAAGAGAAGAAATTAAAGAGTTGGGGGAACAAGACTGTCTGCTTCTAGGGAATAAACCCAAAAGCTTTCGGTGTATGCATCAAGAAAAGTTGAAAAAATTAATTAAAAAAATTGGAAATAACAAATCACTCAAGTCAAATCCTATCCTCTGCTTTAAATTTCTTCTTTTTTCTTTTTCTAAATAATACTATTAAAAAATGTACATGTCACGATTTCGTCATGCCACGCAATCCTGTTACATCACCGCTCGCGCCATTTTGGCCTTTTTAAATTATTTTTTGAATTTGATTTTCTATCAATCTAGAAAGCCTCTCTCCGGCGCCTCTATCTTCCTTGTCCAAATACCACCTAGTGGTCCTTGTGGGACATTGATTGTTAAACGCTATGATTGATTTGATTTTTATGAGACATATATACATTTTTTTTATTGGAAATTTAAGTAGATTAGTATATTTCTCATGAAAAAAATTGGTGGTATCGTCCATGCGATTCCTTTTGAGCTACCTAGTTTTTGCTACTGGTATAATCTACAAATATGCTGTTCAAAGTAGAAAAGGGCAGTAAATAAAATTTTCAATTTTTTAATATAATTTTCTTGGCATAATGCCCCCACCTATATATATATATATATATATATGCGCGTTGGCACACGCATGCTAGATAAAAAATATATAGGAATAATTGAATACGAAATTATTTATATTTAATAGTGGTCAAGATTTAATTTTAAATATATATTTGATCCATGCAATTCAAACAAATTCTTAATTGCAAACTCTTAGTTTTTATTGAATTAAAGTTGATATGTTGAGAGAAAAAAAAAAAAACAACTTGAATTGTATTTTCTATTAAAGCAAGATAGAAAGACTTATCCACCACAAACACTCTTGTATGAAATCTCACAAAAACATTCTATAAACAAAGATATCCTCACCTCTATTTCACTATCCACTTCCAAATCTAACTCACTCTTCTTTTAGAAAGAAATATAAAATATAAGTATTAAATAAGAAACATTATATCACACGTCTAATTCTAAAAATGACACTATTTATACTAATAAGAGACATTTTTCTAAGAAGATCTTTAAATATTTATCGGATGGCGTTATATAATAAAAAAAGACTCATTTTACCCTCTAGTAAATGATGAATATGTCATTTACTTCATGCAAGTCGATTCTCCTCGCATCTACTATAAAAAGAGAAAACATATACTTGTAAAATGGTTAAGCATAACAATAAGAGGTTTTGCCTTTTATACATCCTCCATGAGACAGAAACAAATATTGTATATTTTCTCTCTATACAAAAAATAGCACATTATTAAGTCTATTCAAGTAAAATATTCTAAATATATATTATTAAATATAATAAATTAAACACCTCTCTTCCTACTTTGACTTAACCGTAGAAGGATTCTTTAAAATCCAAAAAGAAGACTTTGTTTTGCATGTATTTACTTTAAAACGTTAAGCCTTAGACAAATCTCTATCCCATGACCAGCTGAAAAGAAGATTTATCCAACCTTTCATACAGACCGAAGATCCTAACCTCATCAAAAGTGAGATGTAGTTCTATCCAATGTTTGGTATCACTCTAAAGTGGTTTTCTGAATCGATTTTGTTAACACCTTATCTATGCATGACATGATATATGTATTAAAATATGTTTCTGTGTCAAAAGTTGTAATTATGGTCTTCACAAAATTGAAGAACTAGCATAAACGTGAGGTGGTCTGGAGTGAAAGAGGAAGTCAGTCATCATGGAATTGATGTTTGTGAAAAGAACTACGATGTAGACATAATTTTTAGTCTACGGATGCTATTTTGTCAAGTATATATCGTTTGATCCAAGTCCATTAATAAACTTGCGTTGTTAAATTCAAGCAATACGTAAGTCAAGTTTTTCGATACATAGAGATAATGGATGAATCTTCACGGCTGTTCTTTGATTAATTGAACTTTGTCCACTTGGAATAATCTACAAAGTCTATAAAATTGGCCCCATTTTATGTAAGTAATGAGGTATTCAAGGAGATATTTCGTCAATGTGCCATGAAATTTCATTGATTGTACGGAAGAAATCACATAATTCATTAAAAAATGTCCCCAAATATTATGCCAAAAGAATTAATTTTCCTAACTAGATGAGGAGCAATTAGTTTGTTTTTATTTTTTAAATGACTAATTGGCTTGTTTTTAATGCTTACTTTCTATTATTGAAATGCTTTTTTATATTGTATTAGTCTCTTATCAAGTGAAAATGCCATTGTCAAATTTTATAAACTGCATTAATTCTTCCAAAGCTTTACCTCTTTGTTGAATAAATAAATAAAAATTATTATGAGCAAGTAGGTTAGTGTTTGTTTTTTTAATTATTATTAATAGCAACGAATCTTTCTGCAAATTGACTTGTTTCTCCTACTTATTTTTTTTACTACGAATTTCTTATTATTTAAATATTTTTTATATAGCAATCTTCTATTAAAAGACATTTGTGAACGTGTGATTCTTAAATTTTATAAACTTTGCCTCTTCCTTGAATAAATAAAACTAATGAGCAATAATAATTTAATAGTCTCGTATCCATAACTACTTGTGGATGAAATAAGCCATGTATTTTGGGGATAGGATGCCAATTAAGTCTATGTTGTGTGTAGTTTTGGGACCATCGAAGATCAAAATTCCCCCTTTTAATTAGTACATTACCTTTGTGTAAAAATTTATGTGGCAAGCCTTCAAAATAATTATCTAAATGGCCTATTTCACAAAATTAATATAGATTTTTATAACAAAGTAGGTTTAGTCTAATAAATTTGTATCCAACAACGCTTTTTTAGTTAAAAAAAAATTCAAATTTAACGATTACAATTTTCTTAATCATATTGAAAAAGACCTATCTCTGCCTCCATTATATTCATATAATAAATCGTTGGACCTCTCAACAAAAAAAAAAAAAAAAAAACACCCTCCAAAATGTAGGTATATACAAGAGTGTATTACTCATTCAAACATTTTCTTGCCATTTCAATAGAGTTGCCACTTGCTACCAACCAATCCCAAATCTGAGCAATTACAATAACGAGGAGCATAATGTTTTAGGAGACACATCAATTCCAATGTTACCTAACCCCACTTGCCATCCCCTGATACGGCAGTCCATATCTACCCTTTTAGAGACACGCAATCACTCGGGCTTTATTTATGGGCCCTTAGTCCTTAGATAGACAATTTTTTAATTGCCTTTTTTTTTTTTCCTTCTTTTTTTCTGAAATGACTAAAAAAATGCACAAAAAATGTCGAGATACTCGCCCACGCCCACATTAAGTGCTGATCAACTCCAGTCACTCTACTAATTTTTTTCTTTCTTTTTAATTTCAAAAGAGAACTTGAGATAAGGATTCGAATATTGGTAACGTATATAAAGAGAATAAAATATAAAATAAATCTTGTTTAAGCCAGAAAATGAATGGACCCACACGCTTTCTCCATTTGCGGCCCAATGGCCTAGACCTATGTCCACGTGAATTGCAGCAATTGGTTGGCAATGGAATCTGCATGGATTGTGCCCTACCAAAAAAATAATAATATCATAAAAATTAGAGATACGAATTACCACTAGCTACTAGTTCTTTATTTCTTGTTTGCAATGATTAAAAAGAATCAAAACCGAGTGAAAAAGCTGTGTTCCAATGCCGATCATATAAGAATGATTGATTTATCACCATTAACTTTACACTCAAAAGCAATAGATATCAAGAAATTTAGAAGCACGAATAACACTTGTATTGATTCAATTCCTTGTGACGAAAAGAACCCAAAGTTAATGAAATTTATTTTTTGATTCGTAAAAAATATTAACTATTAATAGTTACTATAACCAACTCATCATAAATTCACTTCCCATCTCTATTAAAATACTTACGATTAAAGTTTCAAGCACATTAAGAAATTAGAAATAATTTGCTTATGGATGCCGATTAAATCTATCGAACTTGTAAATAAAAAAAATACTATAAATATTTATAAAATAATTTAAGAAAACGAAATTTATTATGCAAATTTAATTAATTTATATGAACTATTTGAAGTACCAACAAAGAATGTGGTTTAGTAATAAGTTAGTTATTTTAATTTCATTAAAATTGGAGTTTAATTTTTATTATTCATAAATAATTAATTATAATTATCTTTTACTTATATTAAGTTTGAATTGATTTGATTTAAAAGATAGTTCAATAATCGATTAAAAATTAAATATATTTTAATATTAATTTAATAAAAAAAATTGATTAAAAACTAAATGTATTATGATATTAATTTTTTTTTTAAAGCCTGAGTTACTGATACCAAAGCTGACTAACTATATATTTGAAATAATGTTACTCTAATCACATGGCAGTTTTAAATTTTGTATATTGTGAAAGTGAATATTCATCTATGAGTATTTCTTTACAAGATACTTTCTTTTTTCACTTTTCTTTTTCCTTTTCTTTTTTCTTATATTCATCTAGGAGTATTTCTTTACAAGATACTCATCTTTTTTCACTTTTCCTTTCCCTTTTCTTTTTTTTTCCTTATATATTCACTTTCACAATATACAAAATTTAAAACTGCTGTGTGATTAGAGTAACATTATTTCATATATATATATATATATATATATATATATAGAGTACGTGCGCAGATGACGGTAACGGCGCAGTGCTTTTAAAATTTTATAAAAAGAAAACTATAAGAATCGAACAAAAGCTGAAAAGAAATAATATTAGACAAAGGAAGGGATTGGGAAGCGAGATTACGCGTTAAAAAGAAGGACGCCGAGCGACGCGGCTTGACCCTCAGAGCTCACAATACCTCACTACCACACTCGTTTATTATTACTTGTCTTTAGTAAACTCACACTCCATTTTAAAACAAAGGATAAAAAAGTCCTTCAAATATTCATGTTATTCTCCTCAAGTGTTTAGAGTTCAAGATTATCCTCTATCAGAGGTAATCAATGTCATCAAATTTGAAGTGCTGGCTCAGGCCATAAGTGGATTTGTCCTCAAGTTACTATTTCATTTTCAAATTCAAAAAGAGATTGTGGAGTTTTTATTTTTTATTTTTGTAAAATGTATTACTTGTTATGTCTTAAAGAGATTGTTGTTCTTTTTAGTTATGTTTATCTTAAAATAATTGTTTGGTTGAAACTTAAATGATATATTTTTTTTAAAAAAAATCAATTCTTTCTTTCATTTCATGTTCTTCATTGACAAAAAATTAATATTCTTTATTTTTTTCTTATACCTACAAATACTTTTACTAAAACAATTTCAGTAGAAATTCCGTTTTTGTTACATAAAAAATATTCATTCTTGCATAAACTTTATTGCATGTCAAAATTTTAAAAGTAAAATATTTTAGTTAGTATGTTATTTTTTCATAATTATTTTAAACTTGATCTTTAATTAACTTAATATTTTTTTTTAATTTTCCATCTTAATTTTGAATTGATTTCCTCCTTAAACTAATACTGATTCGTTTAATGTATGATTAAATTTGGTAACTAATAATTTTAACAAAAAACATATTTCAGCAAAATATGGCAAAAAACTATTGATACAACATAACAATTAATACTTTTTTAAAATTATGTAAAAAGTCAAAGATGATGATTTCTTTTAGACAAAGTAAGTAATTTGAATATACTCCCTGGATTCTAAAAAAAAGTATCTATCTTTCTATTTATATGCGTCTCAAATGCTTTTTTGATCAAAATTTTAAGTTATATATTTTTTAAAATACCCTTAATTAAAATCCATTTTGTAAAAAAAATTATCAAAAAAAATTAAAAAATATATTTGAGAAAAGTATGAATAAAAAATACTATATGATATAACAATTAATAACTTTTTAATTTATGTGAAAAGTCAAAAAAGAAAACAAGACAATCTTTTTTTGACAAAAGAGGTAAATAACTTATATAAAACTCGACTGGAGAGATATTCTCAATGTATGTAAACTTATTTGACAATAGTCTTAATTAAAGTCTATTTTTTAAAATAACATCCAAATATAGTTTAAAAAATAAGAACAAAAATACTGATATGACAACAATTAATAGTTTTCTTAATCTATGTGAAAGTCAATGAGAATATTTTTTTTAAAAAAAAGAATAAATAACTTACATAAAACTGAATTGAGGAGAAATTCAATCTCAATTTATGTAAACTACTTTCACAATTCCTTGATTACTAAAATAAATTAACTAACAAAACCTATTTTAAATTTTTTATTTTATCACATGTATTATTTAGGAATTCCTGACACACCATCATTTACTCTTAAAATCTAATAGTAATTATTCTTGAGGACAAATAAAATATTATAAATTTGATGATTCTTGCAAAATAATACCCATTTACAATTAGGATTAAGTCATGATATTAAAAAGTGATTTTGAAGAGGAGACGCTTAAAACATGCACCCAATAAGGATAGTTTTGCACAACGGCTTGGATAGTTCTAATGGGGAAAGGATAATATTGATTATTTTTAAAATTGATGAATCAAAATGAAATTTGCTATATAGCCTAGCAGCAGCCAGGCACATTCCTCAACAGTCAAATCTACAAGCATAACCATGGTTAGTGTAGTTTAATTTTGAAGCTCTCTCGATACTCAAAAGAGTCTAATCTTCCGTACAAAATAGCTGACGCGTGTCCCCCTACAAACGCGGTTTCTCCTTCTCCACCGCCCTATTTATCCTCCCCTACTTCCTTCCTTCTCACTCCCTCCCATTTCTCTCAAACAGAACAAAAATTCTCCCTGCCTCAAAGCACCAGTACCTTGCCTCTCACCGGTCACCGCTTCTTGGTTTCCGGTCAAACCAATCTGTTCTTGACTTTGTTCCTCCCTTCTTAGTCGTTTTTTCTGTCAACTCCACTATAGATATTCACTTCTTGCTGAAAAATGCATTGAAAAACACCTAAAAGTTGGCTTCTTTTACAAATTTCCATTGTTCTTCAAGTTTCAAGGCAACAAAATAATCACAGCAACCAATATGGCATCACCAGAGAACTTGGCAGGTCTGGAACCATGGAATATGATGTTTAGGCCAACTTTACCTGATTGTTGGCTTTCTGAAGCCTATGCTCGCGACACAGAAACTCTAACAAAAGCCCTCCAAAAATCACTCTTTAACACTATTGATGACAACCCCACAAACACAAATGAGAACAGTACTAACTCCTTTTCCATAACCGAAACGTTTTCTTCAAATTCAACCAACCCATTTATCAACCTAATCGAGACGGCACCCCCGACTCCGACGGTCTCAAACGTTTCTGGGTCAGACCCAGAAACGGCTGGAGTCACGAAACGCCAGCGAAACGCGGCGCCAGGTGCTACTGGGAAGGTTTCGAAACGGAAATCACGGGCTTCGAAACGGTCTCAGACAACGTTTATAACAGCGGATCCGGCTAATTTTAGACAGATGGTGCAACAGGTTACCGGTGTTAGATTCGGTAACTCGCAGGTTTCAATGGTTCCTGTTTTGAAGCCTGAGCCACAGAGGCCTGGTGGCCGGTTTCAAGGGGGTAGTGGGTACTTGCCTACGCTTGATACGTCGGCGTTTTTGCTTGATCATCATCAACAGCAGGTCGTCATGGGGTCGCCTTCTGGGACTTGCCCTGGGCCTGCTGTTGGGCCTGGCCCAAATGCGTTCACCCAGTCCTTGGTGGGGGATGTTGGGGTTAGTTCTAGTGGTGGCTTAGATTTTGACACTTTCTCTAGCTTTCCCACTCTAGAATCATGGAAAGTTGTGTAACAAATTAATTGTATTTATATATATTGGTATTTTGGGAGGTCAGTAAGTGAAGGATTATGTGGAGTATCTTGTTTATATTTTTGGGACATCTTGGCTTAGATTAGTTCTTTATAGCTTTGTTTATTTTGTATTTCTAGCTATTTATGTGATGTAAAACTTTGTCGAATGCATTAGTATAATTATTAATGCTTTATGCTATTTAATTTGGGCCTCATTTATTTTCTTCTGAATTTGCATTTAAACCACCCTTGGCCTTGTTATATTCTGTCTAGCGAGTCACGTGGAGTGGGACATAAATTTCAGGCAGCTTTTGCTTCATGTGAATAATTTCAGAAAAAAGAAGTTGATGGGCATAAGTTAAACTACATTCTTGTGATCCGAGTACCACTTTCTTTTTGCAAGTATAAATCAAAACTGTATGGAACCCCATTGCTTAAGATAGTTCAACTTAAGGTTGTCTCTTTTCACTATCTTAGTTACTCTTGACACCTTTTTCTTTATTTCTTGTGATAATTTGAACGCTTTTTTCTTGCTCAAAAATAGAAAATTTCACCATTTTATCTACAGCATTTCTTCCCTGCCCTTGACATGCAAAGCCAGGGTAAGAATTACGCAACTTACTTCCAACAAGTACGAACTTAGATTTCCTGCACGTAAAAATTTGAACTCAAAGCTTTTTGTTTATTATTATTAAAGACTTTGCTAGTAATCGAGCCAAATAGTTGATGAGCATCGAAATATTTGATTCAAACATTTTTAATTTTTATGAATTTCTATAGACTAGTACAACTAACTAATATATCTTTATAGTTTTGAGACTAATTACATCATATTATTCTAATCTTCGAGTCGAGGAGGAGGGACTATATACTATTTTTAATTTTTCCAAAATTTTCCTAGTAGCTAAAAGGATTAGACAATCCAAGCAAATCTTGGTGCCTATTGTCGTTTTGCTACATGTGGATAGCAATGCCTCTCCATTTTTAAGAGCATGAAATGGACACAAATTTTGGAGCGTAAACACCTAATTAAACTTGATGCTGAAATTAATAATTATTTTCAGGAGTAATGATATTTGTTTTAATTAATTAATCAGTACATAAATTATCAAATCTCAACACCAATAACGTTAACGTGTATAGGAATAAGAATCAGGAATAGGAATTTACACGTTGGAGACAGTTGGCAAAACTTGGATTTAAGAGAAAATCCTCAAAGTGTAATCCAGTATTTTCATTGTTATTATTTAATTTCTCATCCTGTTTTTTTGTCAGTTTGAGGCTCCACTTGACTTAGGTCCATTGCTCCACAGTCAAATAAGATTCCTAAATCTGCCTTTTCCTTATAGATGTATAAATTCAAGCCCTAGGGTTGATGTTGATTTTTATTTTTTATTTTTTATTTTTAAACAAGAGATGTTGAACTTGGGTTGATGAGAGACATTTATGATGGGTTAACAAAGATAATTAGTCTGATCATGATTTATTTATTATAATTAAACAATGAAGTACAACTAAGAAGATTGAATATAAAGTTTTAACACCAACTATTTCAGCAAAGATTATTTATTTATTTACATCTTGAATCCAATCAAAACTTCAAGATGTTAAATTAACAAACTTCACTGTGCATGACTTCTTTGCTAAGATACATAGGAAAAAAACAATTTCATGTAAACCAATCAATTCATTATCCTTACAGACTCTTAGTCTTCTAGAAAGAAAATAAATGAGATCAGCTTAGCTCTAGATTTGGAAAAAAATTATCTTTAACACATTGACATTATATATATTAGTACTGCAAATATTTGCTCAAGTCAAAAGGTTTAATAAAATAAATACACAGTCCCCTATAATGTGTTAGGTAGCATCATAGGCTTGACTTAGGTCTTGAAACCTCTTTATTTATTATTAAAAAAAAAAAAAGAAGCAAATAGTGAAGTTGTTCAATTGATGCAACTCGTTGAGATCGATGTTTATTGAAATTCAGTACATTAAATGGATTTTTTTACGTAAGAAAATCTATATTTTCATTTTCTTTTTCATGTAAAAAAAAAATCTAACTTTAGGACAAGGAGTTGACATAATCAAACTGCTTAATACATGGTTCAATCATCTAATTAACCAGATGGTGTTGCGAGAAGAGTGGAAATGAATGTGTTGTGTCACTCTCAATTTGATAGAGAAGTCTGGCCCACATATTTTATAATACCACTTCTGAAGGCAAGTAATTAGTCTTAGTTTACTGTATTTTACAAATGCATAAAAAATAAAATAAGTCATTTTCCATGCTGAGACGGACTCATGTTACTTTTCTTTTTCTTTAATTAGATTCCCTCTCTCCTTTTCCACACAGCCAAAATAAATAAATAAATAAAGGAAGAAGAAAAATGAAGAAAAGAATTCCTTGCATGCTCGGGGAGGAGGGAATTTGAGGGATCTAATTATTCAATAACAGTATTAATTTTGCTCTCAGCCTCCATTGGTGATTAAAACAAGTTATCATAAAGTTAAATGGTTCTAATCCTTCTTAAACTTCAAGTTGTTTGATAATCAGTCCTTAACTTTTAATTTTAAACTGAACATTCTTCCAACTTTTTCTTTTTTTATTTGAAATTAAGTTCTTCTATTAAGTTTTTTTTTAATCAATTCTAATAATATAAATACACCCAACTTGCACATAATTGATTTTTTTAAAATTTTTTTACCAGCTAAAAATATATCAAAACTTATAATGTTTTGCTTTTTCTTTTTTTTTTCAAAACTTATTTTTTCTATTCTTTCTAAAATGTTATTAAATTACTGATTTCTTAACATTTAAAAGAGGAAAAAAAGTTTTAGAGGAGAGAATAAAACATCCATAAGTTTTAATATGTTTTTATCTACTAAAAAACTATATTTGCACATTACAATAGATTAAAACCTAACGGAAGAATTCTATTTTAAATAAAAAATAGTTAAAAGAGTCAAAGTACAATTCAAAATTAAAAATTTATAAATTAATTCCTAAATAATTTAAAATTCAGATAAAATTTATAGTTTTGACCTTTTATAATTGAATCAACATTTATAATGAAGTTATAATTTTATAATAAACAGGTGAAATGCTAATATAAGCTTTCTATATACAAACAACTTGATGAAGAAACTTATTCAAAACACTAGAATCCAAAAAAAAAAAAAAAAAAAAAATTGAGTGTAGCATAAGATCCCCATTGCTTACCACGGAGGATAAGACTTATTCCTTCCACTTCTAGGAGAAGCTCATCTCAGAAACGAACAATACAATGACGTGGGCAGTGGTACAATGTAGACAATTAGACAGGCGGTGGTTATGGAGGCATGTAATAATGGCTCTTAACATTTTTTTTGGGTCAATGTCAAAACGTTCGATTGAAACGAATAATTCCATTACAACGAAAGAATGAGATGACCCATGCCAGGACGTAAGCATTTCAAACTGTTTTTGTTAAAAAGGTGGGTCTGAAAAATTGTCTGAAGCTTGTTCTAGGGTTAAAAAAGGAAGAACAAAACACTCAAAGTCCACGGCCATGTTTGATTGCATGTGCTTGATTTTTAGCCAAAATAAAATAAGATTTGGTATTTTGGGCTCTAAAAGCAGATTAGATATTGCTTCCACTTTTTTTTTACAGAGGAATTAGGCATCTAAAGTGACATGCATGTTTGAAATTCTGGTCTGGCCATTTGCCAGAGATCATGAACCTAAACCATCTGCAACATGCTCAACTAACATGTTTATCTTCTGTTTCTAGAAATTGAATCTAGATACTTCCCTCTCCCACCTTCACATATGTAAAATGTACGTCTCTATTCAAAACTGCCAAAAAAAAAAAAAAAAAGTGGAAGGATAATGATTTTTCGAGCAATTGTTTAGCCAATTAGCGTTTACATCCCTAAACCCTAAACCCTAAACTCAAATAATTCAAAAAATTATTTTTTATCTCTAAAATTTCAAACTAAATTCAATTAGGTTGCTGTTAAAAAAAAATTAGTTAAGATTAAAAGTGAAAATTAAAGAAAAACACAAATGAATCTTTTCGATGAAAAATCTTACATTTGTATTTTCTTTAATTTTTACTCTTAAAACATAACTGAATTTTTTTTTTTTTAATAGCAAACCTTCCTAAGTTTAGCTTGAGATTTTATAACTAAAAATAATTTTTTTAAAATTCTTTGTCAAATTTTAAAATGATAGAATAATTTAAAAAGAAAGTTCATGACGGTAAAAGATGAAAAAAAAATAATTTGGTATTTGAAAAAATCATCAATTAATGAAGAAATTTATAAAAGTACTTGATTGGTAGTTTTTTTTAAAAATTTGATGTATTTAATTTGAAAAAAAATTAAAACTCATGTATTTCATTGAAAAAAAAAGTTATAATTTGATATTTTTAGGATAAAAGATATATCGTCAGTTAATAAAAAATTAACAAAAATATTTAATTTACAGTTTAAAAAAATTAATAAATTCAAATTACAATCTATATATTTCATTAAGAAAAAATTGAATATTAATATGTTATATTGTAATTATCTAAAAAATTAATAGTTAATAGAGCAAAGTTCTGGCAGAGAAGGGTCAAAAATGGGGGGCTGTACTTGATTGTACAATATTGTTCTTTTCTTCTTTGACTGACTATGACCTGTCTCTACCTCCCCACCATATCAAAGACTTTTGGTCTTTACATGCCGTGTCGTATAAGTGGCCAACCACGTGCTCTCTAGCTAGTCCTCCGCCGATTGATCATTATCCCATACGAATCGAACGGTCGACAGCTATTGCTGACCCACACCTGAGAATAGGTTTAGAAGATAAGAGCCACTTTAGTTCCCAAAGCAGAAGATGAGATTGCTGTTGATAAAATTTGTGACAATATTTTGAATATATGATAGCCTTTGTAGAGCTTTTGAAACCAAAAATTCTTACATTTTATCTCAAAAATCTATATATGCTTTATTCTAGAACGTATGAATAATATT